CACACAACTTGCTCTTCTGACATCGTGCAATTCCATATTAATATGGACATTAGTTTCATGGACAATTCTGACCACTTTTCCTTTTGTTTTATAGAAAGAAATTAGAAGCTCTGTAATCAGAAGAATTAATGCAATTTGGTGTCCTAGGGCTTTCCGTTCCCTTCCAAAGAGTGGAAAGCCCTAGGTCCCAGTGGCAGGTATTGGGAAAACTTGAAATTGCTCTGCTTCTCATAGACTGGACAGGGATCAAGGGAAATGAGGAAATTCCTGTAGTGCTGTTAGGTTGGCAAGAACACCTTAATACTAATCTTAAGTCGGCTGAATAGTATAAACTTGAAGCAGTGTAAAGTTTTGATGTTTTAGTTGATCATACTTAACATTAATATTTCAAGTACAGCGCCATCTAAAAGTAGTCACAACTAATGTTTTATCAGATAGGTGCCTTACACAGGCATACAAGGTCTGAGCCTTGAAGCAGTTAAATCTAAATCATGCATAACAATATATAAGGGTTGAACCCTTGAATTAACCGTTCTGTTCCTTCTCTATTTTCAAGTTAGTTTATGCTTTGTTTTTTTCCCTTTCTGACAATTTGAATCAATCTTATTAATTTTGCAGCTATGCTGTCATGCATTGCCTTTGAAAAGTATTCCTCTTGTTCCATTACTTTCCCCCTAGTGATTTAAGGGTGTTTTCCAAGGAAGATCAACACCAGACTAGGTGCTTGGCCTGGATTTAGGAACCTTGGGCATGCCCTGGTGGAGTGTCTGCAGCCAGTAGATGGCACATTGCAAGGCAATCTGCACATCCTGAATAGCAACTTGACGTCTGTTAGTATGATTAAAGGATAAATAATATTAAATGTTTCTTTAATAGGAGAAAATGCATAGCATTGACAGTAGTGATTAAGTTCTATTAAACAGTTGTTATTTTGGACACCAGGTGATTAGTACATTCAAACCACTTCATTTCCAGACTTTGGCACCTTGGTCATTACTAACTCAAATCATAAAGTTCAGTGAATCAAGTTGTAAATAGTTTTATTGGTTCCGTGTTGGAAAAAAATTGAGGGTTGTGAAATTCCTTGATGATTTAAAGTTACGTATTTCCTAAGTCCTTTTGTTTCTATTTTCTGTTCTTTATTTAGTTATTCATCATTGCAGAAATTTTAAACTCTGTTTCTGCCTTTGCAAACCCTAAAACCAACATGCTAATTGAGAGCAAAGAACAAATTCCTAGAACAAATATGCCAAATGGAAAGAGTTGGAGTTTTGCACTAAGGTGCACACTACTGCCAACATGCCATAGTTATCTGAGGGAGGAATTACCTCCAAGGACAAGAGTGGAACTGCTCTTACAGCTTCTGGAGAAAGGTCCGTATTTACATACATGCTGATGACTGTTGGATAAAACACAGGACCTTCATGTTTCTGTTGGTTTGTATTTTGTTTTCTGAAAATATTTTTCATCTTTTTGAGAATTATTTTATGGCCATTATATGATAAAGCTTCCTTAAAAGCAGGTTTTGTTTTTGGTTTTGTTTTTTAATGAAAGCTTAGGAATTAAATTGTAGGATCTAGATATATTCCAAGGTTTCAGTGCTATACAACAAGGCTTCCTTAAAGTTGATTTTAATACCTTTCAAGTGACTGGGAGCAAATTTTTGGTTTCTCCAAACCAACCTGAGGATTAGAAAGACATGGCTTCATCCTTCTTTGGCTTTAAAATTGTCATGTGTTCTGTTAAGTCTGTTTATGATTTCAGTGCTTGACGAAGTGACCCTTGCATCACTTACATGCCACTTCACAAACTTCTGTCAAGATGTTTATGATGAGGTGCCTTTCTCAATGTAAGCTATTTTCATTGTAATAGCCTGCTTAAAATTCATCTGGTTTTCTGGTGTGGTCATGTGTTGTAGAAATGTGTATGTTTACCAGGGTAAGTCCGTCATATTCTCTTAGGTGTACATACATGTATGTGCCTGTAGAACTTGTGTATGTCCGTGTGTGTGTGCGTGTGTCTGGGCAAGGCAAGGCAAGACAGCACCATAACTCCAGGGAAAATGGAGGAGGTGACTGCGAGTCACCCAGTTACTCACTGGCATATACTGTGGGAAACCTGTGTTTTGTGGTTTTGTAGAGCACTCGCTTTTTAGACAAGACAGGCAAGAAGGCAGACATCCCCTTCTCATTAACAAATTTATCACTTACAACTCTTATGTAAAACAAACTTAGTGTCAACTCTGAAATGAAGAGCTGCATTGGAAATCACACCTAACTACAACAGGTGCTGAGCTGGCAGTTTCACAGAAGATTGTGAAATTTGATCACACAATGGGAAATAGAGCCACTCCTTGAGGGCAATATCTGGAAACATAATGGGGAACCACCCTTCAAAGGTGATCTGTGTAATAATGGGGCTTAGAAACACTTTCTACCTGCTTTGCTTAGAAAATTATGAATGTTTTTAATAGTGTTACTGGTTTTTGCACAAGCACACTATATTTAGCTGTACCTCAACTAGTCCTGCGCTGAGACACACCCAAGGCAATAAACTGCCCAGTGCGTACTTGCTACTACCATCACTTCAAGGTGGAAACTATTAATGAAATTTTCCGTTCTCTTTATGTCCTGGTATTGTTCGCTTCTCTTCTCTGTCTACAGATTACAGCTTTTCACCTGTATTCTTCTGGAAGCTGGGCATTTGTATAACCCTTGAGTAACTTTCGCTGCAGCCATTTTCTGGGAAGTCTCTGTGTACTCATACATGCTAATGAACATGGAACACCCAGCATTATTGCATTGGCCCCATAACACTCTGTGCTACTTGATGTCTCTCTTCTTTCTTCTTGAGATTGCCATAAAGATTGCACCTGTGCTCCTGCATGTACTTATGCACACCACAGCCTCTGAATAATGTAGACTAATAGAAAAGACTTCAAAGAATCATAACACAGTTTTAAAGGGCTGGAAGGAGAGGCTGATGGGAAATGTTATAAGAATTCAACATTTCCTGCTTAGCTAAGCAGTAATTTAGAGGGACATGTAAACTACGTGCAAGTATTTCAAAGAAAACAAAAAAGCAAACAAAAGCTATGCACACTGCCCTGATGCTGTAGACAAAGAGCAAAGAAGGGAGAGGTTTGCAGCAAATCATCTGCTTGGGTTTGTAATTTTGTTAGGTACTCAGACACAGGGTGAGCAGTGTAATGAAAATATTTAGACAGATTTGGATGTTATTTGATAGAGGTAAATGCAAATGGAAAGAAGATGAGTGGTTTAGCAGTGACCTGAGCAAGTCATTATGTGATTGAAATCAATTACCCAGGAGCTCATTAGCAAAAGAGAATAAATGTCCTTCCTTCTTGTGCTGTGGATATTCTATTAGATCCCTATCACACATCAAATCAAAACACTATCTTTCAAAGCCACTGAAGGGTTAATACCAGACTGTTCTTTCTGAGACAGTGATTTTCCAGAGCAACTGTGCTTGTCAGGCCAATGAAGCTATCAGGGCAAAGGGATTCAGTGATCAGCAGATACCACAATTGTCTTGACAGTTGGACCTGGAAAGAAACTACTGCAGGTCAGTGAATTCTAACATTTTATAAATCAAATGTACACTGCACGTTGTCCTTGTCTCCTAATAATTAGGACAGAGAAAGAAAGAAAAAAGATTTTCAAGAGCATGCATACTATTTTAGAGTGAAATTCACTCACATTCACTCTCATGGCACCAGTATGGTTCAAGTAGGATTTCAGAAGTGCAACAGACTTCATGCAAAACTTAGGCAGACAACAACAGAACAAAGAATTTAGCACAAAGTTCAGGGGCACATATTGTATAACTGATCTGTCTGAACCCAACCTCATTTATGGTACTAAGTGCTTAATTTGGCAAAGCATCTTTGGATATTCCAGTATCTTTGTCAGTTTGGTCATTAGGAGTCTATGTGCTACTGAAAGTCAGTTCCAGCAGAATAGGGATTAAATATTTAATGGTATTAGGGGCTTTTGAAAAGGAAGATCTTGGTTTTGAGATTCCAAGAAAATTGGACTCTTAGTAATAAAGTAATCATTACTTTAAGGATAAGAGAAAATCAATATGCTAACTTTTCTGATTATTTCAAGATACTTTAAGTAAGCACACAGGCAAGCAGCTGATACATGGAAGACAGAAGTAGAAGCAGTGATATATAATCGGAAAAATCTCCATAACACGGGGGTACATTAAAAAAAATATCTTTAATTCAATCATATATATTTTAGGACACAGGGATTCTCCCCTTCTCAAGAGAATATTGCTATTCTTATCACGACCTTGCAGGCTGTAGTCTTACATAAATAACAATGGGACAGATGTTCTAAGAAAAATTGGTCTTTTACATTCACAACCAGTGGACTGCAAATAAATATGTTTCAAAGTAATAGAATGGGCTGACAGTATGTGATTTTTCTGTAATCATACAACACATGCCTTCCTGAGAATGCCCATGGGGTATATAACAATCATGTACATTTTGAACATATACACAGAGGCCTGTATACTCATATACAGGTGAATAGTCATATTAGTTGTGACAATACACAGATATATGCATGAAATCAGGAATGTAGAGTCTCTCTCCTTCCTTTTATATACACACCTCTCTTCTTTCTCACTGCAGATTTCAGACTTTACAGGTGGAGCTTGAAAAGCAATGTAGCTAGCACTCAGGGCAAATCTACCCCTGCAGAGACAGAAAAACTAAAGATACCTGGAACAGTTGAAAAGCCAAAGGTTACCTCATCTTACTGCTGGGGTAACAAAATTGCCTGCTAAACAGCACTGTTAGGCAATTTTATTGCTGTTATCAACTGAATTATTTTCCTTGTAGGTGGCTTGTCCTTTTCCACAGAACAGGCCTGTAACCACTGCCTCAGCAAAACTTGTGTAGGTTATAGTCTTGCTCTCACTGCAGTTCTAACAGAAACAGTTGTTGGTTCCCTTGCCTCTCCATATTATGGGCATGTACCTGTCTTATTTGCCCAAGATGGGAAAGTTTGCAGTTGGAACAAAGATGAAGCCCAGGTGTTGATGGCTAGAGTTATGGTCAGAACTCCCAGGATGTTGAGTACAAACCCAGCTTTGGCCTAGAATTACAAAAGAGAAGTGTTATTAGTTGAACTGCGTACTCTTTTCCTTCCTTGCTTATTAGGATTGTTTGTACGGTTAGATTTTTCTCTTTGGCCTTTTTTTACAACTCCATCAGAACTCCATCAAATTACATTTAAGCTGGTTTTCTTCACAAATATAATTTGTATTAGGGGAAAAATAAAACTCTTAAACTAGAAGTCCTGAAATCCTTTTAATCCACTTATGTAGCACCTTCTCTTCTGACCTGGCATCTGTCTCTAATGTTATTTCGGATTTCTTCTTGGATCAGTTATAAATTAGAAAAGTTATCAAGAGACATGGCATCCTTGTCCGTCTTTCCTTAACATAGTGAGAAGAGGCATCAGGGCAGCCTAGTGAGATGTGCTAGGCTTTTCCTAGTCCCTGCAGAAGGACTATCCAGATGACAGGACTATGACATCCCTACGATCTACATTTGGGCTTTTCGAACAGTTAGATATAGCCATTTCTCATTGACAGCAAGCTCTTGTTGGAACATCTTCAAGAGACCTTGGCTGTTCGTTAAAAGCTCAATAGCTTCTTTATAAGGCTCTGAATATATATTAGAGTCAGCGTGACCCTTTATTAATTCACACATGTATGTTCTTTCCATTTGATGTAAGCTGAGTACAGTGAGTTTTCTAAAACCCTTCCAAGAAGAACCAATATTAGAAAAAGGGAAGATCAAAACTAGTGATGAAAATTCTGAAAAGAATGTGCTTTTGCTCACCATATCTATAACCTTGAGTTGTCCATATGAGAAGACAATGGCGTTAGGAGGAGTGGCCACTGGGAGCATGAATGCCAATGATGCAGAAAGTGTACAGGGCAGCATGACATAGAGTGGATTGAGGCAGATCGCTTCAGCCTATGCAAGAAGGGAGAGCAAAGATGATGGTTTCGATATATAAAAATGCATAGAAATCTTCTGGTGGAAGACTGTATTTATCCATGTCAGAAACCTCATTCTTTCACAAACACTGCAGCCACTCATATTTTGGTTCTGCTTTAGAAACTCTAGCCAATGTCTTTATGCAGCAAATGCAAGAACTGATTTTGTGGTCAGTGCTTTGTATTCCTGATTGTGGAATCTGATCACTGCTGCAGTATAAATTAGTAATAATGGTTGTATTCAACTCTAAAACCAGGCAGAAATGTAGAGTGGCTTCAAACTGGTTAAGAACAAAATAAAATTATCAGAGGAAACGGGGTAGCCCAAGCTCTGAAGGCGAGTGGATCAGTTTAGGGGTTAGGTGGAGTCTGTGGCCTATGCAAAAAGATTTTGGTGGAGCTTATTCCAGTTTCTATCTGGAACCAGCTTTTCATGCTGCAGAACTATGTCTACCCCAGCAACAGGAATCTCCTGTGGAAATGCAAAAGTCTGAATTAGGTCATAGAGCTTGACTAATGCTATCATCTTCAGAGACTTCTGGAAGGCTAGTGGTCGGAGTGAAATACAGTAATGGAATGTTGCAGAGAAGCAAATGCTGCTGCTGTTGCTGTCTCTATGCAGAACAAATAGGAAAAAACAAGTACAGCTGGCAGTGACCTCATGAGGTTGTTTAGGCCAGAAGGCAAAGTCTAATATGCCAATGAATTTAATCCCTTTACTTTTCACCAGCAATGATTTTAGAAAGGTTGAACTGAGCACAGTGTGTGTGAATATATATGCATGCACATACATATATGTATATTTTAAGTCTTGTATTCCTGGTCGGCTACGTGAACCAGTGCTTGGCTATGTCAGCCAGTTAGTTTTTATAATTAGGCAGGTGTATGCTTGCAGAAGAGTTGAAAGCTGTTCTCATAAGAGTATTTTGAAATGCTGGAACTTACCATTGAAGCCAGAATAGGGAGAAAGAGGGTAGTAGTGGCCACATTGCTGGTGCACTCAGTGAAAGTGGCAATAAGGAGACACAACAGGAGAGCAATAGCTGGATGAGGGATGTGCTGCAGAGGAGTCAGTTTGTTACCTAACCATGAAGACAGACCAGATTCCTGTAACAGGGGAAAGAGGTCTATCAAGATGGTAGGCTGGAGAAGAAATAGCCACACCACAGTCCAATTACATTTCTCATACTGATTCTACCTTCCCTTCTTATAGGAGTTCCCATACGAACTGCTTTCTGTAGAAAAACATGTAAGAGGCAATGCTCATAGACATGATAATTCGGTAGGTTAAATAAAAATAAATGTGCTTTCCCTTCCAAAATATTTAAAAGAAGAAGATACTACGTTTACAGTACGTTATTGATAGCAAATAGTTATTTCTCTGTTCAGGCCATTAGTTGTATATGACCAATATTTTTCATATATCTTAGCAGATATTCTAGCAATTTAATGTAATTTCATCACACTGTCTGAGATCTTGATCAACTATCTGAAGCTTTTCATACCTTTCATACTTCTCAGTCACTAGAAAATACCAGCATCTCCCCTATTATTCTGGGCTGTAGTTTAGGCATCATTATTATTCAGCTGTTCTTAAGAGAACATATCCTAACTGCGCATGTCTTGCTGCTTCATGCATTATAGCCTAGCTTTCTCACTGGTTTTGCAACCACCGTTCTTCGTGTCCTCCTTATTTCATATCTTGGTTACTTCAGCCTGTTTCTTCTGACATTGAAAAGTGCTCTCTCACGGGAGGGTTGGAATCTGTCTTGAAAGCACTAGTCTAATTCCCTGTTCTAGGGCAGGATTGGCTCTACCTAAATTATTACTGATAGATGTTTTTCAAACTTGTTAAACATCTCTAGCAATGAAGTTTCCGAAATCTCCCCAGATAATTTTTTCAAGTTCTTAACTATCTTTACAGTTGGAACATTTTCCTACTGCTTAACCTAAATCTCCTTTGCTGCAATTTAAGCCCTTTAGCACCATCAGAATATAAAAAAGTATACTATCTTTCTTTCTGCAGCAGCTTTTATGTATTTGATGACTTATTCTAGAATAAATTAGCATAATTTTTTGAATCTTTCCTTTTCCAAACATGTTTCCCAGAGATCCAATCATTCTTACTACCTTGCTCTAAACTTTCTTCATATAGCCCACATGTTGTTGAAGACTGATACCCCAAACTGAATACAGTACTGTAGCTGAGGACTTACCAGTCCTGAGTGGAAGGATTATAATTTACATGTCTTATGTATGATGGTGCTACCTATGTTTCCAGTTATTTGCTTTTTTCTCAGTAGCAATATAAAAATATTGACTAGAATAAGGTGCATGAGCAGCTTTAAAACTTATCCAGTCATTTCCACATCTTCTATTTGTGATACTTGGTTATTTCTTCCTATTTCCCATATTGAGTTGCATCCTTGTTTTCTAGAAACAATTTTACAGATCTTTGAATTCTAAACCAGTACTTCCAGGCACTTGAAGCCTTTTCTAATTTGCTTGTTTTCTATAGATTTAATAAATGTATTGTCTGGTCCATCATCTAAGTCATTACTGAAAAATAATATGTAGCACTGGACTCCTGGCAGATGCCCGCAGAAGTACATCAGTACCTCCCTCAGTCTGACAGCCAGACGTTTTTAACTTCTCCTCAAGGTTCTCTAGTTAGCTCTACATTTGTCTTCTAGTAGTTTAATTTAAATCATATTTCCATAAGTAGTTTGTTTGAAAGAATTTGGAGACCCATCCTGGGCATATTATCTCCTTGTGCTTGCCACATGGATTTAAGTTTTATTTAATAGAACCTTTAATGTGTTGGGGTAGTTTCTTAAGCACTCACTTTTCTAGAAACACAGTTAATCATGCTGCCTTGATTGGTAGTACCATCCCAGTTGCATAGGCAACAATAAAGATTTGTTCTAATCACAGGACTCCTCCTACGGATGGTGAAGTCTGTCCTACTGCCACTAGCTGAGGAAATGCATGTTTGGTGCTACCAGCATGCCCTCTTGCGTTCTGGGAGAGCGTGCTTGAAAAACAAGATGGAAAACACCCAGGAGGACACAAATACCAGGTAAGCAGAAGAATGTTACCTCACTGCCTTTGGCTAAGGCAAAGCCACCTCCCAGCAGAAGCACGATGTTCCATGGCATTTTCTGGTGAACTACTTTCCAGTCCAAGAGAGCTGGAGGTGCTCGGATCTTTGGCTTGCTGCCTAAAATCCAAAAAGATTTTGTAAGCCATGTTACATTCTCCAAAGAAAGGAGGGCTTCTTGGTGGGAGGTGAGTTTAGTCTGAACATCAGGAAACACGTCTGTCAGCAAGATCAAGTAGACTGTGGAATTGTCTCCTAAAGTAAATGATGAGAGCCTCATCAACAAAGATTGTAAAACTCGGCTTGCAAAAATCCTAATGAATGATTTGTAGCTGCTCCAAGAGGCATAGTAGAATACAGGTAAGAGTGAGTTAAAAGTATGGCAACGTATCTGCAGAACTGTATGTGTTTCTGTTAAGTCATGTATTGTCTCTTGAAGGCTCCAGCTTCAGAAGCTTTTACATATGTATAATACTAGTGTCTGGAACACTGCTGAGATAAGAGTTTCCTACTTAGTTAAATTACAAGAAACAGAGAACTTATATGGGATGTATGCCTTGCCTAGCCTAAAGCATACAGCTGTAGCTATGCAGGAAGAGCAGTTTGAAATCTTGTTTAATGTTTGAAATTTCCTTTGTAATTCTAAAATGTAGAACTTCCCGTGTACCTATTCTGACAGTTGATTTTTGATGCCTTCAGTCATCTTACCTGTTTGGTGTTTGTCTCTGTCATAGTTAGAAATGCCAGAAGGGATGATGAACAACAAAATTGAAATGAAGATGGCAACTGTAGCATCAGTGACATAGCTGCAATAGATCAGTCAGATATTTAGTCTAGCCCCGTTTTCACTTTTATAAAATCTAGCCTATTTAATTTTTATTCAAAGTGAGGAGGAGAAGTGATGATACCTTGTATCATTTTTGTTGAAAAGAACTGTTGCCCAACCTGGTATGAAACCAGGGTCTCTTGTAAACCAGAGCAGTACCAGTAGTATGAAGAGGATCAAAACTGCTATTTCTGCAAATTTCATTGACCCCAATTTCTTGCTCTCTTCCTTGATAATGTCATAGGCCTGTTTTGCCTTAGCCTTTGCAGAGGCATTTGCAGCACAACCAAAATTCTTCTGAAAACTAGAAAAAAATGGACAAGAAATATCAGAGACATTTGCCAGATATCCTCAGAGTTAAGAATCCAAATTTTATACTCAGTCATATTGTCTTTTAGATATATATATATTTATATATGCATATAGAAATTATATATATATTATTGTCATAGCATCAGCAGCCATAGGTGTTGATAGTAACGCCATTGTACTGTGTACTGCCAAGATGATCAGAAAGAAGCTTCCTATCCCTGAAAGCTCATGATCTCTGAAAGCTCATGATCTAAATATAAACAGGCATGCTATCTGGACACATGGGGAAATAATGACAATGTTAGTGTGATTGACAAGGCTATATGATCACCAGGAAGTAAACAGTTGCCAAGCTTTTTAAAATTACAGAAAAGGAGAATTTTAAAAGAGGAATTTGAAGATGAAAGTACCATTGCGGCCATTACAGAATTCTTTCCATTTAAAAGAAAGGAGGTTGGGCCTCATACAAAAGTGGTAGGGTAAGTGTTAAACAGGTAGGTAACGCAAGCTGCTTGTATGGGGTGATTAGCCTTGGGAACTGGCATGACACTAATTCTTTTAAGTCTGTAGCAACTCTCGTCACAAAGGTATTGACCAGCTATATGTACAGATCAGTTTCCTGGTCTGAAGCACAACAATCTTTCAGGACATGAAAGCAATGCTGCAGAACCGGTTATATGCAGTTATAACTTCATATTTTCATCTACAGAGTATACTTAGCTGGGATTTGATCAGGTTCTTCAGAGAAAAAGTTGCAGTATTTTAACAGATACTTAGTATGCTGTTCTGCTGGTCTCTTTTATGTGAGGACTTTGTCACTTGCTGTCTGACTTTCAAGCCTAGGCTTATCAATGAAAATATCACTTGTGTTACAACATGTAGTGAGTACTTGCTAACAGGCCTGTCAGCTGTATTACAGTGTGTAGAGGGTACTTACTTAAAGCCCAAGTACAGTATCTGCAGCCAAATCCATGCCAAAACCAGTAACAAGATCATGGTGGGGAAGGCAAAGGAGAACCAAGAGGCAAAGTTGATGATATTGCCATTGTTAGGAAAAAGCCTGTAAAATGTAGATGGCTGTTAGCATCCAAAATTCTGCACTCTCTTCTGTAATTAATGATTCAGAAAAGAGGAGGTACTGTGAGGCCCACTAAGGAAGAGAAACTAACTTCCTGACAAAGTTACCAAATTGATATTTTCCTTCTCTGTGTTGGCTGGAAGTCAGCTGTAGCAGAATGATGCAGTTTAGTGGGTATGAAATCCCAAATTTAACCAGACTTACTCATCAACTTGTCCTTGCAGTACCAGATTTGGTGTTGTCCCAGTCAGAGTTGCAATCCCTCCAATACTGGCTGAGTAACAAATACAGAGAGACATTCCCTTGCAGAATTTCTTGTGTTTCTCCTCTCGCAGATTTTCATTTCTCTCTCTGTCTTCCTCGACTGTCAGGATATGACTACTACCTAGGTCCCAAGACAGGAACAAAAGAGTTACAGAAGCTAGATTAGATAGGAAAAGATCTTGTGCCTGTGTAATTCAGTATTTCAAGCCTAGGACACAATGGACTCAAAGCTGAAGGAGCCAAATTTCCTCATTTTAAGGCTGGCATTATTTATCTTCTGTCCATTTTCAGTGGTTGTCCTGATGCTGAGCAGTTTTTCAGAAGAAAAGTTGAAATGTGTGATAAAGTCCGAACATACTGCTGACACTATTCGGTGAACTAGGGCAATGTCTGAACTGCATACAGAGGGGAGAGGCAAGAATTCAGGGAGGCACAACAGAGTCAGAGGAGTTGGACTGAAGGTAACTCATTCTGTACCAGCACCTGACTGCTGGTGCTGAGATTTACAATCAGAAACAATTGAGTTATCTCAAAGGTGGGAAGAGGGCAAGACAGCTGATAAAGAGAGATTGTTGCATGATTGTGTATTTTTGGATTGGAAAGATCATTTTAATCCCTAACCTTCTGGCATGAAGTAGGCCAGAAATTTTCCCTTAGGAATTCCCTGTTATCTGATAAGTTACACAGTAGATAATAATTGAACTAACATAAATATATAGGGAAATATCAAGCCACATGTAAAGGCTTCAGCTAATAGAGAATTTATACATTTTGTTGTTTTATTTGTTGGTTATCATCGCTTCATATTTTCAATCTATTTCTCACTTCATCCAAGTCAGTAGGTCTTACTGTGCTTTTGTCTGGTTCATGGAAGAGCCTCATAAATGCTGTCTGATACAGTCAGGATGCTTTAGGCACATTTTTCTTTTTGAATTTACTAGTAACTTTGACAGTGAGGAAGGCATCAGGTCATCCTCCATTACCGCAAAGACACCCATAACCCACTCACCTTTTTCCTCTGTTTCTTTGGAGCTATCTGATTTAGTTGACTTTTCCTGCAGTTCAAAGGCTTTGTTGATGTTTTCAGATGCTTGGCTAACTGTGCTAAACTCCATTTCTGACTTGTGCAACTGTTCCAACACTGCTTGTGCTATTGGGACCATCATGGCAGTGGTGGCGGTATTGCTGATCCACATCGACAGGAAGGCGGTCACAATCATGAAACCCATGAGGAGTCTGAAATGAAAAGGTTTGAAAAAGTCAGTTCAGAACTCAGTGCTGCAATGCCCTTTTTTTTTTTTTTTGTTACAAAGCTTTTGGTTACAAATGCTGGGTTTGGAAAATGCTTAGCAATTCACACCTAGCGCTTCTTCTTACCCTGGTCTGCTTTGTGAATGACATGGTAAGATTTAACATAAATTTTAATTTTTGCAGTTTCAGCCAATTGTGCTTTTACATTCTTATGACTAGTAAAGTGGAAGCTAGTACCTTGGAGCAAACAGTTTATCTAGTCAGTATCCTGCTTATTCTGCATGCTTCTGAGGAAGACATACCATCTCAATAACATGTTAATGTATTATAATATATTTTGAAGAGGAATTGCAAGCTGAATTTGATCCCAAATGGCAATCAGTTTAAGCCATAAGGAAGATGATCTCTTTTTTTTGTCATTTTATTCCACCTCTATTATTTAAGATTCTCTTCTTATTCATATAAAATTCTAATCCTTGTTTCAGTATTAACTCTGTTATTTGTCTCAAAATTATTCTTTAGATGAGATGTAGATTATATATTAGATGAAAAGGGCTTTATCTTGTATGCATTTTTATTCTATTGCTTTGTAATTTCCTTCAGTATTCCATCTTCTTAAGATCTGAGACAAATTAAATAGGGCCGCATAGCCTCTGCATAGCTTAAAGTTCTAGTCTGGTAAACAATTGTTGTTTTCAAAACTAGCATCCCCATATTTTCTCTTCTCTTTGCAATCAGTATAACAGTTAGAAAGTATATGTTTTCTGTGTTTCAGCTGTAGTCTTTCCTGATTGTCTAAAGCTGTGCTTCTGGCCAAGCCTAGCAGCACCCTTGTCTTTTCAGCATTGACTCTCTTGTTGCTATTTCTCCACCTAAAGCCATATGGAATTCGAAAAAGAGGCACCAGGTCTGTAACACATCAAAGGATCCCCATTTGCAAGGTTTGCTCAGGCACTAACTCACTTGGACTGCAGAAAACCATTTGTAGGATGTGATTTACAGATTTACATAGGAGACTACAGGCAGCTCTGAGATAGGAACTAATGCCATAAAGTCCTTGATCGCACAGTGTTTTCACAACTGTTACTCACAGGGCTGGTCTGACACCAGTGATAAGCAAGACCCGCAGAGCAACACGCTTGTGTAGGTGCCAATTCTCAATCGCAATGGCCATCAGCAGTCCTCCAATAAAAAGCATATTGGTGTCCTTCAAGTACTCCCGGCAGACCTGTAATATGGAACAAGGCAGAGAAAATAGTGACAAGAAGCCAATGTTTAGAGAGAAGGCACTTTCTGAGGCACGGTCTTGTCCCAAAGACATTAGCACACAGTAACTATGGATTGCATCTAAACAGTGAATTTGCTTTGATTTCAGATTACCAGCCCCACCCGGAGTTCACTCTAGGCTCATGCAAGTTCTGTTCCATGGAGAGGACAGCCAATTCCCTGTGCAACAATAGTACAATTTTCTCTTCTTTGCACCACACTCTAGAAATCACCCTGGAAATAATCCCAGATTAAGAGAAGCGGACCAATAAATACATAGGCAAATATGGATAGAGTAATATCTCTTACTGTTGTTGAATCCATGATATTCATTAGTGGGAACAGCAAGACAGGAAAGAGAGCTGTGACAGCCAACGGCAAGGCTTCTGTGCACCAAAACAGTGCCATCACTATAATAACATAACCACATCGGGCCTCCTGACAGAAGAAGAGTACATGCAATCAGAACAGACCGTACATCTCACTTAGACTTTGAGAAGGCAACAGCCCATAATTATATTCATTGCCTGATAAAAGTATTCAAGAAAAGGTTATTTTCTATCCTTCTCTCCTGTCTACCCTCCTACCTATGCAGATCCTAATCAAATGACAAACTCTTCAACAACCTTGTCAGAACTGTGAGGAAAAGATGGGGGCCTCCAATGGGGAAAAAAAAGAAACTTAGGAAAAGAAACAAATTGATTACTTTGAACCCTTCATGATAAGGGATTGGCAGTCCCTGCAAAGACTTCTTGATTTTACTGGTGATGGTATTTTCTTTTTATATATTTCTGTCTTTGAGTTGCAGAAACAGTTACTGATCCAGTCAAGGTTTCTCCACCTTTATGCTTCAGAACATGGCCCAGATGAACCCCAACTAATTTCAACAGCCTGGATTGCTTGTACTGCAAGTACTTCTATCTATTTTTCATAGGATTTTTAGCTTAGTACAGACTTTGCAAGGCTCACTGACAAACTGGTCACAGATCAGGTTCAGCTTCCACTGACTTTGTCTTGTTTCTTTGAAGAGGGTATGATCCCCTATTTCATGTTACTCTTTTTCTGAGAAAACATTGATTTAGTTCTGCTTTGGACAACCACTCTGAATTTTATGTAGAAATATTTAACTCAGTCCCTATACACTAAAAATATTCAAAATAACATGTCACAGCAGATTTTCATATGTCTGGGCTGAAGAAAGCAAGGAAAAGTAACATTGAAGGCTACAGTGTCTTCCTCGCTTTGGAACTAGCACAATAATGGGCACCAGCAAATCAAAAGGAAGAAAAAAGTGGTTGTGTGGTCTTGGATCAAGGATGTCCACTAAAATATACTGGACAGTATGAATGAAAATGTATGCTTCTTGAGGAAGCAATGAAGTAATGGAAATTGTAATGGCTAGATTACAGAGGTTTAAACCAAGGAGATGGAATAATGGCTGGCAGGATCAAACTTGTGATGCTTTAGAACATGCTTCTGAACATGGCATGGAAGTTACAGAGCTGGTGAAGGGAAAGGATGAACAGGGGAGCTGATTAGTCTGGAGGAAAGAAGAAAATAGCAATCTAGGTGGTAAACTACCAAAGCAGCAGGGCTGGAGAAGTAAAGCTGATAGAGATTCATGAAGAGGTTAAAAGATGCCTTTTTGAGCCTTATTTTTGAATGAGAGCAGTAACAACCTTAGTTACACATCCCATCAAGCACTGAAAGCCATTTTCCATTTTGATGATCCTTTTTCTCCCATTTTGTTATTAAGAGATGCCAGCGGGTGCCTTTTGAGAGACCCTAGAAGGGCTTTGGAACACATATCATAGGCACGGTGCTATTCTCTTCCAGCCTGCTGTGAACAGGCTCTTCGTAAAAGCTGAAATAAGCTGACTTTTCATGAAGTCAGTTGTCCTGTAAGGACATTCCTCTGTCTTTAGACAAAATCTTTAGCATTGTCTGCTCTCATTTGTAGTAGTTTAGTGTCCGGTGCTATGTCATTATGGGACAGGTTAACAGCTCAACAGAACAGAAAAATGTGAAATTCCATCCTGTAAGTTGTACACTTGCAGCTCTGCATGCTGAGGTACCTGCTTTTCCTGCTTAGCAGTACCACGATGCACAATTCTAACACAAGAAATCTTCTTACAGATTGCAAAGGGAAAAGTCCAGGGCATTTTAAATTTTTGTGTTGTAGCTGAATACATAGAAACCAGAGAGAGTCATTTTCAAAGAGGAACTGAACCAAGACTGCCAAATCATTCCACAAGCAATACCAAGGACTTACTGCTTACTGTATGGTAACAATGACTCTAGCAAGTAAGTTTGAACTCGTGGCCTCAGGGAAAGAAAAAAAAAATTCTCTCTCTTTCTGGCTACTTAGAACTTTTCTGATCCAGATCTCTTTTAACTTCAGTAACTCTTTTGCCTATGGAAAGTTAACTAGCAAAAAAGTACTTTTTCTGTTTTTCTTCTTAGTAAGCTTTTCAGTGGTAGTTTAAGCTATTTTATTTGCATAGCAAGGGAATAGGAGGACACGCCTGATCAGTTACCACATTTCACCTCAAGCTAGTGCCACTCTATCATTCTTGCTTACAGTCCTCTGGTCATAGCTCCAAAGTCTCTGATAACACTCAGAAAAAGAGCTGTGAGGAAGAAAGAACTTTGGGACAGGCTGCACAAAAAGACAAGGAAGAGCTAGTGGAGCGAAGAATGAAGCTTGGCAAAGGAGACTAGAAACTGGGAGTCAGCAGGGATCAGGAGACAAGCAGGCAGGCAGAGACCAGAGGGAAGAGCTAGGACTTGACATCCAAAGAGCAGTGACAGGAGAGGTAGATTGGGACTAGCTATTTAATGGTGCTGGGACTCTAATAAGAGACCTGAAGACCAGAGATTAGATGTCTGCATGAAGAGATTGGGAGTGGGAGAAATAAGCCAAAGTGAAGAAGAAGCAGAACACTGGCAGTCTGCCTGCTCACAGTGCTGTATTTAAATGATCAATGTCTCAGAGATACCTGCCCCACTACTACAGGTTTTTGTAGTTAACTTTTTCTGAAGGAATCCTAAGCTAGGTGTCTTCCAAAACTCGACATTTTAAATTTTAAGTCATTGTTTGGAAAGATTCTTACAGAAATATGCTAAAAGAAGAGTGAAATACATATTATTTATCCTTATGTATCAGAATGCTTTGTCCACCTGACCAAGAAAAATGCCTCTTCTATCTGGCAATGACAACAAGGAAAAAATTAAAACAAGATGTGGACTGGATACTTTTAGAAAATCAGAAGGGGGATTAAAATTGAGCCTTACACTGTAACTTAGGTTCACACATATGAGCTTCAGCATAGAAATATCTTTGCTAAATCAGTTAGATGCAAAGCAAAAGTTATAAAATTGCATGTCACCAAGCATTCTTCTAGGATATGCAGTCACAGATGTCTCTGTTCATCCATCTATGTCCTATTGCTTTTATATTCCCCTACTATCGGTAGTCAAAGGGGTCTGCTCAGAAAAAAAAAAAAAAAGATCCTTAAGCAATAAATGAAGTAAATGCCTCTGAGAAAGAATCTGTATGTTCTCTTCAGCTCTGTCACTTAAAAGGAACAACTTTAAGGAGAGATTTGGAGATTTGGTTCTCAAATTCAATTTAAAAAGTTCTTACCTTGGTAGGAACAGCCAGAGGCAGGGGAAGAAACAAAAGGGGTACAAACACTATGATCAGGTATTTCCTGAAAGCTAGGGTCATCTGCAAGAAGCCAGCCATGGTGCTGGAGCTAGCCCAGTGCTGAAAGGCCTGAGTTCTGCTGCTGGAGACTATATAAACACTCGGGAATATTAACCATTGACCTCAGGGGGTTGGGTGTTGTTTTTGGAACTGTAGTCGGAGAAAGAAGAGAACAAAGAAGGGAGGGGACAGCAAAAGAGTGTCAGACCAGGAACTTTCTTAAGACAATCTTCCTGATAACGGGTAAATCCAGGAGAGAATTAACTCCTTGTGGACCAAGTAGGTTTATTAAAAGCATCCTGAGATGACCTATGCTTTTTTAAAAGAATATTAATATTTTGGTCTTTAATAATGCCTTGTTTGCATAGGTACTGTTATTCCCCCTATAAAAAAAGAGAAACTGCTCCCTCCATAGTAGGTTGAAAATTGTTTTAAAAATATGCAGAGTACTGAAAAACACATCTGCATCTGTAATACTCAAATATAGAGATTAGAAACATCTACACAAAATGTTACATAAACATCATTGTATTCGCTGAGAAATTCTTTGGGTAGCAAAATCCACTAGAGCAGAGCTCCTGTCACCAGATGCCACATCAAGTCCCCATGCAGAAAGGGACTTACAGTCTTTGCCACCTGAGAGCAGGGGCACCTGTCTCTGTGTGGTCCAAGGATGACCCTCATGACGATTCCGTTTTCTTCTCCTCAAAGAGCAATAGGGGAAATGTTAAGGTCTGGTCAGAACTCAGTTCCTCCCACAGGGCAGCCCAGTATGTTATAAGAAAGGCTTAGGGTGAAAGAGGGAACCTAGTAACTCTTTCTGATGTAGTCTGTTGTATCTCAGTGGATTGGGAAAGACTTGGCTATAGTACTACTTTGCAGACATTGGGATTTTTTTTTTCCACCTTTCTGATCTTGCAGGTTTATAGGCACAGCTTTTATAGCTTGCAGGGTGGGGGGGAGAAAAAAATAGTGCTACTGGGAAATTACCAGCAATTCTTGTCCTGGTTGCAAGAAACTTCCGAAATACAAGCAGTGAATTACTTGGTTCTGTAAATATGCAGGAACAGAACTAAACTTTTTAATTCCAAAGGGACTGTCTTGCTAATGTCACTTTGATGTTCTTATTTGGTAGATCATGGAAGCGCATACTTCAGATAATGATGATAACATTTCCATTTTATTGGTATAAATTGTCTCAGCTCTGTTTATAGCTTACTCAAGCAGAGAGAGAGAAAGAGAAGCACAGACATTAGGTCATCTGATGTCAGCTCCACAAAGAGCTTCTGCTGTTTCTCTCTCTCGTCCCTTTTCTGCCGGGGCTTGTTTTCTTTCAATAATGTGCTTATGATTGAAAAACAGCGGGGTTTCAGTTGCCAGAGCTGCAAACTCACAGCTCTTTTGCAAGCTTGACTTAGGCATATTGCTTACAAGAAACAGCATCACAGTACATAACTGCCAATCCTGAGCTTCAGCATTTCACCCTTGGTACAAGAAGAAGGAGAAAGAGCTTTCAAATGAATTCTATTCCCCCACATTTTTGCATCCGCTTAATGTTGAATTAGTATCTGAAAAGGTGCAGTGACAAAATCATCCAACGGCAAAGTCATTTTTCTACTTCCTACTCTTATGTCCTAAGGTTCAGATGAAAATCTGAAAAGAAGCCTTGTTTTCACATCTCTGTAACACAGAGGTTGGCCTCCAGCTGCAGCCTTGCCTATGGGGTGTAAGTAACAATGCAGAAGGGCCTCAGCTAAGGAATCGTGCCTGTTCTTTAGAAGCAGCACATCCGCAGCGATTGTTTCCACTGCCACGAGAGTCCTGTTACTTTCAAAGATGCTCTAAATGAGCTCTGTAAGTGTGTTACTGCAAAGCGAACAGTTTACGCCTGCGGGGGGGTGGATTTGTCAGAGCTTCACCTGCAGCCCCTTAACACTCCCTCAGTGATACATTCATCGGGAGCTACTCCAGTTTGTATACATGGCTTAATCTAATGCTCTGAATTGTGTTCTTTGACTCTAAAGAACGACTCGGTCTTTGCTTACTGATCTGCTCTTCGAGACGGACCAAACCTAACAGGAAACCTAACAGCACAGCCAAACCCTCTGGCGTGTTCCAGTTATTTTCCTCCTTTAGAAAAAGAAGCATTTTCACGCGGGCTGCTCACTAACAGACGCGACGGCGCATCGCTTCGCTACCCCGTTTCCCAGATCCTACCGCAACTCAAACCCGGAGCCCGTCCCTTTCCTCCTTTCGCAGGAAGAAAAACCACAACCGGACA